CTCTCTCTCTCTCTCTCTCTCTCTCTCTCTCTCTCTCGCTCTCCCCCTTCTTCCTTTCTTTCTTTCTTTCTTTCTCTTTCCTCCTTTGCCTGCGCAGGGATAGACAAATCCCACTCTTAGAGTGTGTGCCTCTTACAAAAGGGGTGGAGTGAGACAGCTGGCCGTGTGCCCAGGGTCAGGGTACTATGCTCGAAGCCATGGAAGAGGACGAAAAAAGGAAGAAACCGCGCCCATGTTGTTTCTATTCACCTGCCTGTACTCGAACGCCGAGCAAAGATGTCGTTAATAAATTACGATTAATTAGCGAGAAGCGAGAACGCGAGCCGCCAGCGACCGCGGTTTAATTACTGTGACGTCAACGACACCGTCCGCATTACGATTCACAAACGTCATAATGTCGTGTTATCCGAAAAATGCGGGGAAGCTAGAAAAACAAATACTAATGAAGTTTTTTTTTTTTTTTTTTTTCAGAAAAAATTTCTTCAACTCCAATGCCAGCGAACTGATATTACATCATTACATGGCACACGTTCTCTCGGTGTTTTTCCCCCACTTTTGTCCTTGTTTTCAAATTATATTCTACTTTTTTTAAATGTTCTACTTTTTCTTTCTTGTACGTTATTATACTATCCCTCGCAAAAATGTGTACGAGTGTTCATGAAATATAAATGTTTGTGAATGTATCCGCAGTGTGTTAAGCTCCGATCTATGGTTTTGTTAAGATCTTACTGTGCAGTCATCCTTTCAGTTACTATTGAATTGTTCTTTATCTCTGTTTAGTATTTGGATATTATAAAATATTATTATTGGTGAAATACACACATACACACACACACACACACACACACTTATGAGAGAACCAAAAAATTTCTAGTTTCTAATTTTCCTAATTTTTGTCTTTATGTTCCTCTGAATTCATAACAATTACATTTGACCTATATAGTTACTTATAGAAACGGCTTGAGAAATTTTATCGAGGATGATTCAAATGTGAGTAAAACATGAGCAAACAACTACATTTATAGCGCATGTCTTATAAAATAATATCAGTTAAACGCTATTTAGTTCAATTCTTATTGTACATATTTACGGCAGTAAACATATTTATAAATTAACGTATTATATTATAACATTGCACATAGAACAGTCATACTGTCATTTGTATTTTTTTAGCGGATGGTATGAAATTTGAAACTTTTTGTAGAATGTTTGTTTAATATAATAGAAATTATGCAAATTTTTGTATATGAGAAAATTAACAAATGACCATCGATAAATCGCGCAGAGGAAGAGTCATCCCGAAGTAGAAATAACATATTGGAAAAAACGGTAAATCAAAATTTAATTATCAGACGGGACAATGCATTCGTGTACGAGAGGATTGACTAAGCAAATTCGTTTCCTTTGAAATAATTTTTCAAAACATGTGGTACTCGTTTGTCTGTTTACTTGTCGAGTTGTTTTCGTGTTTCAACTTTCGAAGGGCATGGTATCACCAGTGGTATCTCGATCCTCTGTCTTCGCCGTGTCGATCGAATGAAAGGGAAAATTCAACGGAAAACGAATTGAAAACAGGCAACGCGGTCTCGTGGGTTATGCAGCTGCGCCATGTGGCAAATGTTTCCACAGTCGGGTCTGCCAAAGAGTGCAATCTGCCCCCACGATGGGTCGGCTGCTCTCGGCAGAATGCATCTAGGGAGGAGATTTGGGAAAAGGAGAAAATTTTCGGAAAACTGTCTTCCGATAGCCATCCAAACGAAAAGCAGTATGGATGGCAATTTCTATTTGTACCTTAATTTAAAAAAAACGGCTCGTTGATTTCTAATAACTTCTAATGTAAATATTATACACACGCAGGCTGTATCGAATTCTTGCATTGTTTTAAAAAAAGTCACAAATAATATAATTTTAAGCACTGAATTTTAATTAGTTTATTATTATTGGGCAACTCATTTATGTAAAAGTCATTCGTATATAATCTTGCTACATTCCAATTTCTTCAGTAAAAGTAATAAACGATTTATTAGGACCGTATGTGAATACACAATAAATAAGAGTTTAAAGCCTACAACAATCGAAGCTGGATCTTGGATGCTTAAATAATTTCCATGTGAATTTATATACCTACTAAATATGTAGTCATTTGAACTGCGCACCGAATTGGTTTTTCGGACTTACAAACGCAATTAAACTGCTGTAGTAATACATAAGTTTAATTGACGAGCAATTTAATAATCTGATGCTCAATCAGCCATCCTATTAGAAAGATGTTAATGTGGTGAAAAACTTTACTTGTGACAATATCATATACACAGTATCTTTATTAGGCATTGCTTGAGGATTATGTATATAGTTTTGCAAAAAAATATGATAAGATTGTATTATTGATTATTAATTTTTCACAAAAGAGAATTCATATCGTTCAACTTTAATGTACCGATCGGTAAAACATCTTTTTAAATGAGCTAACCTAATAAGTGTCTCGTATTATTTCATAATTATAATATTTAATAATTTTCAAATTCACCTTTAATCATAATAGCTCTTAAATAATTATTTTATGTTTGGATAAAAACGTATTCATTTTGTATTGAGATGCATAAACAATAGATTAAATAATTATTCACTCTTATAGCATTGTACCGTAATATTAAGAATTTGTAACTAAAATAAATAATTTCAATTCTTTGAAGTACAGCTTTTTGTATTTTTTAACTGTAAAATAAATTATCAGAGTGCTGTAGCAATCGATAAGACAGGGTTTAGGAGATTTCTGACTTGCCAGCGAAGCAGCTGCCGTTTCTATAGTAGTTTCGAAGGAACGCAATTTTGTCTCGCATCTGTCGCTAGAGGCTTTTTTAGCACAAGCTCGCATTCGCATTGTCGCGCTAATAACGCTTTTCGTTCCGGCTGCAGTGAAGAAAGAAGCCAATCCATTAGACTTCTATTTCATATATTGAGATCATCTCTTAACTTTCACTTCATCGCAAGCAAGACATTAAATAT